TTCCTTTCCTTTCCTTTCCTTTCCTTTCCTTTCCTTTCCTTTCCTTTCCTTTCCTTTCCTTTCCTTTCCTTTCCTTTCTTCCCCTTCCCCTTCCCCTCCCCTTCCCCGCCCTCCCAGGCATGAAAGGACTTTCTTACCTTAGATCTAGTGCCAGCTCAGAGCATGACTTTAGTTCTAGTATTTTTATAACCTGAACCTGGTTGGTGAAGATTTTGTGCATGTACGTGGATGTGTGTAGATACGACCAGTGCTTCCTGGCTGTCATGGTACAGTCCAATATGCATGTTCTTTCTGTATATTTGAATCTTAATTTCTGCTTCCTCACCACCGTGTGATGTTCTGCAGCCTTTTTGAGGTTCCTCCCTATCATTTGGAAAATTATTTTGATGTCTGTTGCCAGGGGCTTGGTGCAAATCAGGAACATCAGCTATGGAATTGAGCCGATCAACGCGACTTCTCGACATGCTGTCTACCGAATGGCGAATGTGAAGAAAGATCCCAGGTCTTGCAGCATTCCTGATCTGGATGGAAAGCGGGAAAGCGCAGAGGCTCAGCTCCACCCGGACGATTCTATGCCGACAAGAGTGGGTGCCCTTTGGCAACGTTTAATCGTTTACAGTTTGCCACTTGCAGCAGTGAATGTCATGTGTAAAAATTCCCCTCTTTGTTAAATTTAAGGAAAAAGAAAGAAAGCACGCCGGACAATCTGCGTAAGAAGATCATATCTAGAAACTACAATGTACAACTTGCGTATTCTAAACAAGAAGGAAGAGAAAGAGTTGTATGGAAATAAGTCAACAGTGACAGAACAACTCAGGAAAATGTGGCAAAATTGCTTGCAAACATAGGACCTCCGGTTGGGTCAATGATACCAAATTGGTGGGTGTGACTGGGCTGTTGAAGCCCCGCCCCCTTCTACATGCATGCCCTGTGTGTGATGCATGTTCGAAAGGGGTGGGGCATGTTCAGTTGCATCTGCCATTTTGACATTGTTGATCCCCCTTGAATAAAGCCATGTCCTTCTCCTCTTAAAGCTCCATCTAGTTTCGGTTCATGGGAGTCTGAAGCCTGATACGACTGCCATATTGTGAAATCAAAACACTGCCCTAGACGTGGGTCTTGTTTTCCAGTGCCCTGTTGGACATTCTTACCTGAAGTAGCAGTATTAAGGGAACAAATGCAGTGTTCGATGCGTCATGTTTGGAATGAGTGGGTTACGGCCAATGTTGATTCCGTGAATTTGAAGGCGAGAAAGAGCGAGGGAAAAAGGATTAGGGAAGTTTGGTTCTCTTTTGTGTTTATTTCCCAAAGGTACACTCTGGAATGGACAGACAATGGGAACGTGGAGTTCGTATGGCATCATTCTGTTTTGAATTTAAGACTCAGGAGAGAAATGTTAGTTTATTATAAACCTGTTTTTTGTTTTGTTTTTTGGTAGAGGAAAAGAGGCGTTCTTCAACAAACAAGATACGTGGAGCTTTTCATTGTTGTGGACAAAGAAAGGGTACAATGCTTGTGTCTTCTATATAATTGTCTCAAATGGGGTTTCTCAACCATGACAACTTGAAGATGGTGTGGACTTCAACTCCCAGAATTCCCCAGCCAGCCATGCTGGCTGGGGAATTCTGGGAGTTGAAGTCCACCCATCCTCAAGCCGCCAAGGTTGAAAAACGTTGGTCTAAAAGATGGCATCAATCTCTGCCTCATATTTTTGAGCCCCCAACTTTCAAACCACTTGTTTCTCCCTCCTGGAAGACTGAAGCCTCCCGAAATCCAGCCAGCATTTGATCCCTTCGCTCTGCTTCCTGCCATGTTTGATCATTGCTTGCCCCATTCCTCTGCATTGAAAGATCTTCCTGAGAAGGGTCACAGCTTAGTGGGGACAAGATTTGTGGAGAAGTGAGGATGCAAAATGGGTGCACTCGGGGTAGGGATTTTCCAGTTTTAGTCCTTGGGGGGCTTGGGATTTTCTTGGAGTTTTAAAATTGTGTAAAGCTAATGTTAGGGTCCACCCCACTGTTTTCATTGTGCCAAACTTAAAATGATAGGAAGCACACTGCTAATTTTCTGCAGTCATGCTGGGGAATTTTTGGAGAGAGTTTTGAAGGCAGCCAAAGAAGATCTATAGATTGTCCAGCCTTTGCTGTAAGTAGAAGTGGTACCAGAATTTGGACTACTTGTTATAGTGTTTCCAAATTCTCATGTTTTCTTGGAATTCTTGTGCAGGACTAGATCTGGAAGAAAAGGGAAAACCTTTCAGATTTGCTGAAGGGTTATTATCCAAACTGAATCTTAGATCAGAGACCCCAAGCCTGGTATGGTCCCCAATCATGCCCCAATCAGGTATGGTCAGAACTAGGCGATGATGAAATAGAGAGAAATTAGGCTGATAAAGTTACTATAAACATTTATAATTTTTTCATCATCACAAAGCAGGCTGCATTGAGTTTCTGGGTCACCGAAACAGTTGCTGGCTAACCTGGAAGGGGTTGTCTTGCAATGCTGCCAAAGTGATAATGCATTTGACAGTTCCCTGGGCTGACCTGATGATGTTCATCACCCTCCTTTTCTTCTTTTTCTTGCAGTATCACTTGCTAGGCCAGAATAAAACCGCAGTAAGAGAAGAGATGGTGCAGCTGGCAAACTATCTGGATAGCGTAAGTGAAAGAATTTCATGGCAAATGCAAAGAGCGTGGAATTATTTTATGATCCTCCTTATCATGTTAAGTACAAAACACATTTGTCTTGATCCAGAGAAGGGGCAGGACCCAACAAAGAGAAATGCGTTTTGTACTTAAAATAATGATCATCATAAAACAATCTACCATCATAACAGAGGTCTGCAAACAGGAAGGGGGAGTCTGGTGGATGGTCTCCAGGGCTTTCCTTTGTCCTGCAACGTTGTTCTTAGCTCTTCTGCAGTGTTTATTTTAAATATCTCCTGCCCTAATGCCTGGAGGAAAGTTTTAAAAACTCTTAAATATTTATCCATTTACATAGGAATTACCCTCCCCATTGATCACTTGATGCAACGTGCAGAGTAAAAATAGCAATCCAAAAAGAAAATAAATGCAGTCCATTAAATATGGGACATACAGTGCAATACATTTAAAGAGAAAAACAAATACAATACAGGGCTGAGGCTCTCTGATTGTGCTCCCACCTAACCTTTTAAATTAGTAGACTTATAAAGAGCCTCTGGAATAATTATTAGATGGTATATAGGTTTTTTTCTGGAATAAAATTTAATGCACCCTTCAAAAGATTAAATATAGAGCCTAGGGTTCATTTTAAATTCCTTCAAGGGCTCTGATTTCTTCAGAGTGCTCTTGAAAAAGAAAAAAAAGTAAGAAATGTGTATTCATACCTGAATTTTTAGTAGTGTGAAAGAACTGCACAATTTACATTTTTACCCATTTACATGGAAGGTGGCAGAGGATGGTTGGTTGGTGTAGATGGTTTTTAAAAAATATAGCCCTGGGTTATATTTTACATCTTTTTTCATACAGCACTTGGAATTTTCTCCTCTTTTTAAGCTCTCCTTAGTTAGTTAATCATGTTTCACCCAACGCAAGGGCATTGTCTTTCCTTTATTTTTGAGCACCAGCCTTTGCCAACTTGGTGTGTTACACACGCTGCTCCCAGGTTCGGCTTATGGTCACACACGCACAGCCTGTTGAGGCACACGGATCTTGTCAGCCCCCCTTGCTTTC